ATCAATTTGAAAACATGAGGGGCAAGTTGGGTATTTGCCAACAGGAGGAATTATAGCAATTAATTTTGCTTAAAACAAGGGTTGAAGGAGTTATTTTTGTTAAGTCTATTTTGATTGGGTTAATCATATGCTTTCCCATGTCTTTCATAATTATTAAGAAGCTGAATAGACACTCATTTGCCTCCTTCCTCTCTCAACTCTGCAACAAATCCCATTCTCTCAATCAAAGTTCTCTCTCTAGTTGGAACAGGAGGAGACTAAAGGAAACATAAGGGAAGAGGGTGCTGCTGAAGATCAGCTCAATGCTGAAGAAAGTAGCTCCTCTGAAGATGACAATGCTTAAAGTTTGGTGGAGTTGACAAGCCTGATGCTGGTTCCTGTTGATGCAAGTGTTTTCAGATTTTATTTGTTGCTTTTATTACTCATTTTGGATAACTGTATAACATATAAGTACATGTATCTTTGGCCCATTTGTGGCTAAAGAGGGGGAGATATTTTGTGTTAATTACTTGGTAAACATTATATTTTTCTGCAGACATATTCATTCTGCTGCTCTATATTCTCTGATTGCTTAGGGGTTTTAGCCAAAAATCTGCCAAAGGGGGAGTTTGTAAGTGCTTAGTTATTGGCATGTATTTTTGGTAAAACCAGGTGTGTAAATGTCATGACTGATGTCATAACATTCTGGATTATTAGGTACTTTATGCAGAAAAAGTATGGCATACAGTAGCTACTGTTTATGAGTGTGTATCTGAGCATTTTGCAATGATCACATTTATTGCCTTCTACCAAAATCAGTAAACAGGAATTCTGATGTCATAACAAATGTTAAGACATCCTGTACTGATCTAACAGATATGCAATTTGGTTAATTCTGAGATTTTTCAGGAAGATGGCTCATTCCTTCCAGAACAGAATCTCACGTGGACTTTGGGTTAACCTAGCTCAACCCTAATCTGGTTGATAAAGTATTGTGACCAAGTCTTAAGGTTAAACCTAATTAACCCTAGATTTTTATGGAAACCCTAACTGAAGAAACAACTGCATATATATTCAACAGGAATGCTGGTTGCAAAGTATCTCTTTTGACTGAAGATCAATTAGGAGATGTATAGTTTTAACTGCTGTAATCCAAGCAAGTATCATTGTGATAAGTGACTTGGAATAGGTTTTGATTGTAAGGGTTTTTGTATCACTCAAAGCTTTGAAGCAAGAGTGTTTTGTGTCTCTTGACTAAAGCTTTGAAGCAAAGTCAAGTTAGGTTTATGTATCACTCAAAGCTGTGAAGCACGAGTGTTTGTGTTACTTGATTAAAAAGCTGTGAAGCACAATCAAGTGTTTGTTCTGAAGAGTGTCTTCATTATTTCATTAGTAAATTGTTTTAAGTATCACTGCTGTGATTGAGGGGGAGTGAGTAGGAACTCAGGTTTAAGTTGAACTTAGATTGAAGTTGGATTGGGTAGGTCTTAAGTGAAGGAGATAAACTGGTTAGTTTATTCCTGAATTAATATCTCTTATAGTGGACTTTCTCCCTGGCTTGGTAGCCCCCAGAGTAGGTGTTGTTTCACACTGAATTGGGTAAACAATTGACTGTGTTCTTTACTATTTTTATTTACTGTCTTATAGAAAGTCAGATACGGTGTCATAACATTCACTGTGACATTAAGTATCTGCTGCCAGAATTTCAATAAATGTGATCATTGCAAAATGCTCAGATACACACTCATAAACAGTAGCTACTGTATGCCATACTTTTTCTGCATAAAGTACATAATAATCCAGAATGTTATGACATCAGTCATGACATTTACACACTTGGTTTTACCAAAAATACATGCCAATAACTAAGCATTTTATTGGCATTATATTTTTGTGTTAATTACTTGGTAGACATTATATTTTTCTGCAGACATATTCATTCTGCTGCTCTATATTCTCTGATTGCTTAGGGGTTTTAGCCAAAAATCTGCCAAAGGGGGAGTTTGTAAGTGTTTAGTTATTGGCATGTATTTTTGGTAAAACCAGGTGTGTAAATGTCATGACTGATGTCATAACATTCTGGATTATTAGGTACTTTATGCAGAAAAAGTATGGCATACAGTAGCTACTGTTTATGAGTGTGTATCTGAGCATTTTGCAATGATCACATTTATTTTCTTGCATTTTGCAATGATCACATTTATTGTCTTCTACCAAAATCAGTAAACAGGAATTCTGATGTCATAACAAATGTTAAGACATCCTGTACTGATCTAACAGATATGCAGTTTGGTTAATTCTGAGATTTTTCAGGAAGATGGCTCATTCTTTCCGGAACAGAATCTCACGCGGACTTTGGGTTAACCTAGCTCAACTCTAATCTGGTTGATAAAGTCTTGTGACCAAGTCTTAAGGTTAAACCTAATTAACCCTAGCTTTTTGTGGAAACCCTAACTGAAGAAACAACTGCATATATATTCAACAGGAATGCTGGTTGCAAAGTATCTCTTTTGACTGAAGATCAATTAGGAGCTGTATAGTTTTAACTGCTGTAATCCAAGCAAGTATCATTGTGATAAGTGACTTGGAATAGGTTTTGATTGTAAGGGTTTTTGTATCACTCAAAGCTTTGAAGCAAGAGTGTTTTGTGTCTCTTGACTAAAGCTTTGAAGCAAAGTCAAGTTAGGTTTATGTATCACTCAAAGCTGTGAAGCACGAGTGTTTGTGTTACTTGATTAAAAAGCTGTGAAGCATAATCAAGTGTTTGTTCTGAAGAGTGTCTTCATTATTTCATTAGTCAATTGTTTTAAGTATCACTGCTGTGATTGAGGGGGAGTGAGTAGGAACTCAGGTTTAAGTTGAACTTAGATTCAAGTTGCATTGGGTAGGTCTTAAGTGAAGGAGATAAACTGGTTGGTTTATTCCTGAATTAATATCTCTTATAGTGGACTTTCTCCCTGGCTTGGTAGCCCCCAGAGTAGGTGTTGTTTCACACTGAACTGGGTAAACAATTGACTGTGTTCTTTACTGTTTTTATTTACTGTCTTATAGAAAGTCAGATACGGTGTCATAACATTCACTGTGACATTAAGTATCTGCTGCCAGAATTTCAAACCCTAATCCCCAATTACATAATTTCATGGTAGGAATTCAAATCCATTTCAAAAAATTTGAATTTCATAAGATACAAACGTAATCCTCAAATTGATTATTTCTCGTAATAATTCTAATCAACTTCAACTTAAAATACAAATCCTTAAACCCAATTCAATAATTTATGTATAAAATGTAAAATCTAATTGATTTTGGGAAAATTTATATATTGTGAATGAATATAAATAATTACCTGTGAAAAGAGACGACACCATGTAATCATTCCTTTGAACCATATACGATCTGATGAAAAACGCAACCACTACGAATTACACGAATATTTACTCTAAAAGCTAAACATCGAACATGAACACGGTTACGAAATTGTGTGGGAGGAAAGCGCTCGAATACGCATTTGGGATTTATGGAATAAATCGAAATTGAGAGAATGATGTAGAAGTAGTTCGAAGAACAGGTGGGTGAAATTTAGGATTTTGAATTGCAATTTTGAATTCTTTAGTTGGAATTTGAAATGAAGGTTGACCTGTGAAGTTGGGAGAAGGAAGAAAAATAAGAAGAAGATGAAGAATGAATTATTGTGTTTAAAAAACATTAAAATCTAATAAAAGTTATTTTTAATTTATAAATTATTATTAAGTGAATGAAGACTGATATGTAATAATTAATTTTTTTTAAAAAAGATCCACTGTAAAATTATTACATCATAAAATTGATGTGATTTAGATTTTTTTCTGTTGGATGATTAAAATGACTCAATCGTGTGACTTCACCATAAAAGTTCTCGAAAAATAATACGACAGTAATAAAAAATCACTTAAAAAGACGCACTATTACTCCTTTAAAAATAATATATATATTGATGCTTTTTTCTTAACAGTCAGACACTTTTTAAATAAAAAATTCCACATCTATCAAAGTGTTTCTTATAAAATAAAGGAATAAATAATAATCTAATGGTGTGTTTATCAAAAGTAACATATGTTTGTTTTTTTAAGGATGTAATTTGACTCGCCGCAACAAACTCACTAAATCTTATTCGTTCTCCCAGGAATTTTTTTATATATTTTTTGTATAGGAATTGTCCTAGGAATTTAATAAATAAATAGCTCACTTTGTAAAAAAAAAACAAAAGAATTATAATCACTTAAAATTATACTTTATTTCTACAATAAGACTACATAAATACTTAAAGTAAATATGGATGTAGTGTGAAGGGTGCTTCAGAGTATGGAGAGATTATTAGAGATGAGCATGATATTTGGTATGGTGATTTTACTAAGTGTGTGGACAGTTGTAGTCCATAGTTCGTTAATGACATAATTATGGAGATAAGTAATAGTTCATTTGATTGTTAAACATGGGTAAGAAATAAAGGATGGATACAAGTCTTTCAGAATATGTCTATGTGTCTTTTTAATAACTTTGAGATTGATAGAAATGTGTTTTTGAATTGTTGTTGTTTAGTTTTTCTGCTTTTTGGCTTAGGCCCTCTATATTATAAAAAAAAAAAAACTAAATAATACTTAGATTGTCTTCTACAACAAAAAAAAAACCGAGTAAGTAATAGAAAAAAGGGCCTAATTAAGTTTATTAAATTTATAAATGCAACTATGGCAAAAATAATATTATTAATAGTAAATAGAAAAGAAGAAAAATACATAATTATGAGATAAGAAACCAACATTCATGCAAAAAGTTATGCTTTCTATTTAATATCATGTGATACTTCTAAATATTAAATTCATTTAGATGATATTCTTAATAATATTTATTGATTTCTCTCCCAAAAACACTCCAAGCTATTTTAACTACTAGATTATAAACTATAAGTCATGCACCAGAAATGAAAGAAAATAAAAGAACACAAAATTCAATTCCAAAACATGTAAAATAGGTAGCATATATCTTCATGGTGGTGGTGTTTGATGTCCTACACCAGGGCTATGTCCTGGACTTGTTGGACGGAAAGCATCATCACCACCCTTATCATCATCATTTATGGAATACCAATAATCAAGTGAAGGAGCTTGTGGACTTTGAGGTACAGTTGGTGGTGGATGAATATTATTTAGCAGCCTTGATGCTTCCATTGAACCAAAGTTATGTTGCATAATAATAAGGAGAAGTAAAACTGATAATAAAATTGATTTCTCAGGCATGGTGAAGCTCTTTAAGCCAAGAGGGGTTATAAAATGATTAGGGTTTGAATATAGGAAGAGATAGTTTAGCTCAATATAGGGTGAGAGAGTGAGATTGGTATTTAACATGATTGTTAAGGTCCCACGTGCAATACATGATATTCATAAGGTTTCAATATGAACATAAAGTAAGAGTTTGATGCACATGGATATGTCTCATAAGAATTATTGAAATTGTACGTAAGTAGAAAGAAAATTGCAAGCATTGGAATATTTTCCAGAAGAAGCAAGTTCAGCACTCTATACCTCTTACAATTAACTACCTCACAACCATCCATTACAATGCTTCCTTAGTCATTTTAATTTAATGTAAATTATAGGGCTTTGTTGATTGTGATTTGACAACACTAAGATTAGCAACAGCCAGCTGGATTTATTTAGTAGCTACTTTAATTATTTTTTGTTATATTATTAGTCTAAAGGGATTTCTGCAATATATGATTCATGTTTGTTTTAAAAAGGGAAAAATGCTCTTCCACTAGGTTATTAATTGTTTCTTGTTATGAACAATTGGTGAGCATGAATGATTCTTCATTGTCACACTTTACTTAATGTGCTAAAGACCACTCTATTTTGGGTCATGTTTAGAGAACATTTGCTAAATTAAAATTTAGAAGACAAGAATGCTAATTATGAACTCTTTGAACACTTATAATAGAGAGACAAAAGATACTGATCATACATAGTATTAGTATTTTTCCTTGTTTGTAAAGTAGAGTACTCAAAACAAGAATAAGGTAAATTATAGGACAAGCAACAAAAAAAACTAACATCAATGTACGACTGCACTTGTAAGTGTTGCAATTACTTTCATTGTATTTGTTGTGGTGCGTATTGCAGTCGTTCATGCATGAATAGGTATTTGAAATACATAGTTGAGAGATGCTTAAAATAAAGTTTTTTTTATAAGAAAGTAGAGTACAAGGGGGTATTTCAATTCGTATACTAAAAAACGGTCCAAACCCAACATTAAATTTCAGAAGAAAAAAAAACTTTATATGGGGTTACCTCTCGCAAACAGGAAAGAGGGAAATTTTGAATTTTGAAAAAATACATTGTGAGGAGTAACTACATACAAACGAAAATGGCGTCAATGTGTTATTTCAATGATCTGACGAATCAATATTTTGTGAGGGGTGTCCCCAAGCAAACTGACAAAGTAATATTTGCGAGGGGTACCTGAAACAACCGGTTGAAAATCATCAAACAATGAAGTCGCCATCGAACGTCTTTTATCCCGCATGAAGGGAAAGGTAAACATCGAGAAAACCTGAGAAATGAGAAGTCACGGTCTTACGACTGAGAGATCGGGTAAGGGAGTATGTTATGCGAGGAGAAGGTATTAGCATCCCACACGTCCGTAGTACTCTACGGTACCCACTCTTGTTGTCTATCTTATGGGTGTGTTTAATCTATGCTTATTGTTTACTACTGAGGAAGAATGTATGCAAAGGAAAAGATAAAATAATATAGGGAAAATAAAGTTGTGCTCGCTTAGGCCCTACCCTAATGTCTACGTATCCTTTTGAGGTATCAGAGTTACCGTAGTTCAACTCACATGTTTTTGTTTGTTTTATGTCTTTTATGAACAATGTTAATTTCGCATTCTGCCGCAGCTCGACCTTTAGAGAGGCACGCGTTGGCACAAAAGTAAATTAACATGCCCTTACCTGAAAATTATTTTGAGTTACGCCCTCAAGGCAATATGCCACATTTGATTGGTTTGTATTTTGTTACCTTGAAAAAAGGGCTTAAGTGGGATTAGCATGTTTTATGATTTGCCAACAAAAGGAAGTTTTAGTTTTAAATGCATATGTAGAAGGGAGAAAACAACTCTCTGAGAGACTAGCCTATTTCTAATCCTAACGTTATCATACAATGGTGGAACTAAGGTTTGGATTAATATAAGAGAAACATCTACCTAGAGTTAGCATGCATGATTTGAAACCTAATGTCTAACTTGCATCCAAAAGGAACAAGCACATCCTAAGGGAACATGGCATGTAAAAAACGAGAAAGCTCGAAGGAGCACACACATAAAATGGTAAAGAAAAGAAGCGAAATGCTTTAGTCAAAGGGAGCGGATCACCCGAGATAAACACGCGGGAATAGGATGCAAAACAAAAATTTGATGTCAAAAGAAACTGAACACCTAACCAAGATATAGGAGATCGAGGTAGGCGACAAAAGACAATATGAACAATCACAGAGTGTCAGCATCGGCCTATGCGAACTCCTGACAAAGTGTGGGGGTTCGATTGTGGAACCCTTTTCCTCTTGATGAAAAAATAACAAGAGTAGGCACAACTCCGAAGCATCGTGGTGCGTCACGAGCTAAGGATTACACGGACAAAATTGTGAGGGTTGATTACTAACCCCTTCCCGCTTGCATCTTTTTGAGGACTTATCATCTGTAACATATGCGAGTACAAATGTAAACAGACATGCGGAATACCTACTTCAAAGGTAGGGTTTTAAACAAACACAAGTAGCGAACAATGGCACATAATACAGAATTTCCTTAAATAGGTATTTAAATAAACCAGAGGGATTCCTGACATATATCAGAAATGGAGATCTGTTTCATACATCTCTACCAATCAAACCCAAAGAATGTGCGACTCAGTCCATCAGATCCATCATAGCCTATTGTATTTTTCTCAAATAAATGAGAAAACTCAATGTTTTTAGGGTTAAAAACATACATCCATTAAAGTTCTTTTGAAACACGAAAAATTTCCCTCCCACTTTTCATACGGAGGCGGCTTCATATTCCTTCTCCAATCTTGCTGCCTTCTCTCACTCCATCACCCCGCCTTTCAACCTCATACCTTTATTTCGTCCTCGTATCTATTCCGTTCTTTCTATATCCGTATCACCTCTGATGAATCAAATACCACCACTCGAATCCGCTCATCCATAGCGGTTTACATTATCTTCGAAGCTTATCTCTCTTTGTTTTCCTCTTGTCTCTCACACCTCCACCTTAAGTAAACAACTGTGAATCTAAAACATAAACAGTGAAGAGAAAGGGTTTACCAACCGGAAGAGAAATTCAATGGATCTTAACTTCGAAGAAGCCTTGAGAAAGATACCTCGACGCTTGTATTTTTGTAAGAACACTGAGTATTCTTCTTCTTTTATTAGTGATTTCTTCTGTTATTGATGTGATTTTGTGCGTTCTTGACTTGTTTCTGGTTATTGCTTCTGTTGCAGAGTGAAGTAGTGAAGTTGTTGTGTATTAGATGAATCATTAAAAGAAGAAGATGATTGAAGGTGATGCGACAAAGTTCATTGCAGAAGCTTTAAGGTGCAAGGATGATGATGGAGAAGGATGATGTTGCGGTTGAAGCTCTTTCAGAGAGAGCTTTCAAAATTTATTTTGGTGGAAAATGATGATTAAAGAACGAAAGATGAAGATGATGAAGTATTCTTGTTATGGATGCAGAGAAGTGAAAAGGTTGAAGAAGATGATAAAGTACAGAGAGTGAAAGAATAGTGTCGAGAGATTAAAGAATCTCAAGAGATGTTTGTTACAGATTTTTAGTGGGTTTTTCTAGTGAAGGATTTTTGTATTCCTCCCTTCCGTAAATCTATTATATTCTGTTATGCAGACTGTTGAGGTTTTTTAATTCCTTCTAATTTTTTTCTGTTATATCTGTTATGTAGACTGTTGCAAAGTTTGTTAGTAATTGGTTAGAGGGTTAGAAATTTGTCAATCATGTTGGTTAGAAAACTGTTATATCAACAGGAGTTCTGTTAGTTATTGCTGAGCTGTCGAAATCGGTTAGGACAGTTAGTTGTTATTTATTTTTTTCTGTTAGAATGTTTAGTTTAATTTCTGACTTAATCCTCTAATCTTTTTTCTTATTATTTCCACCTGTTGTTGATTTTATTCTGCGGGATGTTTGTATTGTGGCTGAGACAAGATTTTGTTTATGCGATGTGCAGGAATCAATTTCTTTTAATTGATTCTTTGAATTAAAGAAAGTCCTATATTGGCTATGATTTATGGACATGTTTAATGTTGGATGTGTATGGATTAAAGCAAGTTTGGCTGGTTTAATTTTGATAGTTTGGGATGAAGGTTAAATTCATTTTTTATTGTGAACCGCTTCATGTGAATAACTGCTTCAGATTGGATTTTCTTAAGGTGAACTTGGTTTATATAGGTCATGTACAAGTATGAAATACCTTCTCAGTTTGGTTACGTGTTTGTGAAACATGAGCTAAGAGTCATGGCTTGAAGGAAAATGCATGGTTAACTTGGAATTTTAGCAAAGAGTTTAAAGATGGAATCAAATGCACTTAGGGTATGAAGAAATTGAACCAACTTTACTACTTTGAGACCTATTCATGGCACAAGTTTTAGAGGGAATCTTAGGCTTATTGTCAGGTTCATTGACTTTGATTGTAGAACATGTCTAGTAATTTCTTTCCTTCATATAACTATTCAAAAGAGTAAAGAAAAATGGGTTATTAACTTGTATGGATTTTGAATGAATTTGAATAAGATTTGATGAACCTTGATTGAAACCTTGAATGATGTTTGATAACCTGAATGAAACTTGAATGAATATATTGAATATGGCTTGATGTGAATGAACGAAAGGCATGGCCGTGAATTTAATGAACTCCTTCGTAACTTTCATGCCTTTTCCTTATAATTTGTGCCTTATCTTTCAAGAAATACATATTACAATCTTAACACATTTGCATCTTAAGAATATTTATCCGATTAATTAACATTGAACATATTTAAAATCTTGAATGAAAACTTCCAAAGAATGAATTCAAATCAATTCTCACTTCTCAAAGAAACCACAATTTCAAATCTTAAATCCACATTAACTTGCATTATGAGCAACAATCAATTGAAAGAATAATGTTGATGTCTTAAATACACAAATCCTATCATGTAATACGGTGACCACGCCTTGAGGAAACCTTTTAAAATGAAT